CTAGCAGAGGACATTTCCCTTCTTTTCGTTGTGAAGGTAATGTCAATAAGGCTACACACGTGAAAATAACAACCGCATGATAAGCATGTTAAACATGATGTTTGGTCACGGCTCATTCATTAGTCCTCGCCCTGATTCGTCGATTTTCATGACGCAAATTTATGTGGGGGAGGGGGGCGATCGATGCGAGCCCTCCCCTTTCCAAACTAACCTAGATAGAGCCACGCATTTACAAGAACGATAGTTTAGTCTTAACTAGATCTTACGATTGGTGAAAAGTTTTATGACGCGAGGTAAAAATATGTCAAGAGTCAAATTTTTTCTGGAAATCGAACAATTATATTTTCTGTGCTCCTATGTGCGAGACTATAACTTACAGTAACACTTAATCCAAACAGGTGGGTTCCTCTTTGAAGGCGAGTGCGTTGGTGTGTAGTTCTATGTGCGCTAAGCATAGATTTATCGTCTAGAGCATGTCAGGGTCGCCTCGCCGCCCGCACCGTCCGTTTATCGTCAATCGCCACGCAGTGTTCCTGAAACGCATTCCTTCTCAAAAACAGAAATGCTGCGAAGAAGTTTTTCCCCCTTCTCTCTACTAGTCCTTGTTATAAAAAACAGCGAATCAGGGCGAGAGCTAAGCGTTGCACAACCCGGCGCCAGTGCTTTCCAGCCCTGCGTTGGACATTCGACCTCACCTGTGCCCGACACGCGGCCGCTCCAGTGCTGCACGTGCGCCATCCTAGTGCCGAACAGGCATCTGCTCCAGTGCTGGACACATGACCGGAGGGGTCATGATGTGCAGGACTGGCCTCTCATGTGCCGGCATACGGCCAGCCCAGTGCCGAACAGGCATCTGCTCCAGTGCTGGACACATGACCGGAGAGGTCATGATGTGCCGGACCGGCCTGACACGTGCCGGCATACGGCCAGCCCAGTGCCGAACAGGCATCTGCTCCTGTGCTGAACACATGACCGGAGATGTCATGATGTGCCGGACCGGCCTGACATGTGCCGGCATACGGCCAGCCCAGTGCTGAACAGGCATCTGCTCCAGTGCTGGACACATGACCGGAGGGGTCATGATGTGCCGGACCGGCCTGACATGTGCCGGCATGCGGCCAGCCCAGTGCCGGACACGCGGCCTCTCCTGGGTCTGACGGCCACCAAATTTGACATAGCTGTAGACAACTGAATAGCGGATCGTTTGGCATAACAAATTTACATGTACCTTGTAAGGACGCTGACCTATGGAAGGTCAAAGTCGGGCCATGTTTTCAGCTGAGTCAATTTCTAGGGAGTCGTTCATTCTGATGCAACAACGGAGTGTTACACGAAGCCACACATCTCTGAAAGGCTTTTTTAGGTAGCAAAAATATTGAATGAGCAATTACGTTGACCCAAGATCAGGTATAAAGGTCAGATCAACGTCAAAACCAACCTGTTTTATTCCTCTAGGGCTTGCTGTAAGGGATAGTTTCCTGGTGCTCATTTCGAATTTATTGACAGCATTATGCATTATGCACCTTCCATGGACTTTTTTGAGGTCAGAACAGGTCATTGACCTGAAATGACCCAGGTAAACCTTTTTGTTTTTCGAAACATCTTGTCTAGCGTTATCTTTGTCGCTTATGCAAGTGCAAAACTCAGAGCATTATTGTATGATTTTGGTAAGCGTGACCTCCAAAAGGTCAAACAAGGTCGCTGACCTTAAATGGGCATGTGACCTTTTGCTTAGAAACAGTTATCTAGGTTCTGGGGGCACTTTGGAGACCAACCTGACATTTGACCTTGCTTGACCTTATTTGACCCGAAAATCATGACCTAGGAACCTCGAAATTTAACCTAAGTGAGTTCACGTACAGGTTAACACACTCGGTGAATATGGTGTTTCTGGCTGTCTTAGTTCCCGAGATCTCAGGGGGGGGGGGGCAAATCGACCTCCCACGCGAGCGAAGGGTATGCAGCCCTCAACCCGGGCGAGTGTTAAGTTGCAGACAATTATAATGCCATAATGCGAGTTTATGGAGCGAAGCGTTTCATTCCTTGCCATACTTTTATAAGTTTGTGGTGTATGGACATTAGGTCCTAGGTCCACATCTGAAAAATATGATGTGCCGGACATGAATGTACCCACAACAGGGTGGCATAGAACTGCTGTGTCCGTTATGACATGCACGCCGCCCAAATGCTTCCTTAAAAAGCGGCTGTTTTGGTCCGTGAGCGACGCTTAAATCAGTAATAGTTACTATACACTGAACATGGTCGTCACATAAAGAAATAGTCGCAGCGCCCGAATTCCAAAGCAATCAACCGATCTCGCTAAGTACGGCTCGTTACGTGAACATTAACACGCCATCCATGGTACCCAAGGCCATGAAAAAACTTATCCATTGTTGGATTTGTTTTGTTTTTTGTTGAGGGGTAGAAAGTTTCCCAGGCGTGAATTATAAATGCTAGAAATCTCAATATCGGGCAGTTATGAAAGCTATGGAGTTTCATTTCAGACACTGCAGTTTAGACATAGGCCAAAGCCGTGTTCTGAAACAACACAGTAACGTACTTATATTGACTTACGCGACTACTCAGCTTAAGGTAGCGCAGTTTGTAGCGTCAAAAAGGGTGTCCAGCTGATAGCAAAGCGGTGAAGAAGGGTTTTGATCGGTGGGTCAAACGCTGTCAGGGTTCCCTCTCCAACACTGGCATTGCCCCAGTATGTCGTGACATAGTGCATGGGGCTTGTTATGTGTCATCTATAGTTATGATGCGGCCGCTGAACATACATGCTCCTGCCTTTCTCCGCGCATGCGACGGCTTAGGTTTTAACCGAGCTGACGTACTCACCAAGCTTAAGCCCGCTGCGCCGGCCACTCATGCACTAAAACGTACGCATTAACCGCCGGAGCTTTTGACATGGTCAGCAAATTATACGTTGCCAAACAAATAGACCTTACGAAATGAAAAGATTAATATGTTTATTACTCACCTGCACTTTATTTTTCTCTGTTCTGTGTGGTTTGTCGCTTTTATAGTTTTAGTGCGATGGTTTCTGATAGATTTGCCTCCAAGTGACAAGTAAGGCTGTTTCCAAATTTCGTCGGCAACGGAAAAGACACTTTCCCACCACTGGCTGCACCGTGAGTGTTATTTTCATAAACACCCTGCACGCAACAACAAAATATACTCGCTGCCGTTTAATTAAGCACTGAGACCAGCGCCTTAATGGCTCGTGTGCCGGTCGTACAATAAAGGAGTGCTGTAGCAGCCTCTGCAGCCTAATCTGAGGACGCACTGGCGGCATCGATCACAGTATCGCACAGGGGTTAAAGTGAGCGAGTGAGGGTACTAGATCACACAAAATGGATATATTCCAGTCAGCACCACGATAAAGTTCAAATACGCAGCTCATTTTCACCTGCCGGTCCAGCGTCAGCCCTCTATCGGTGACGGTTGAAGTCGGTACTGTGGTGATGTTTCTCGCATGTTGACATTATTCCCCCAGCATTGACCGGGGAGGAGAAGGGGTCAAATCTGCCCCCTGTCCAATGTTTGCGATAATTCAATGAATGCATTGAGGTATGGCAGCAAAATTAGCGGTGAACAATAAGTTATTTGCCGTATTGTGAAAAACAACTACGAGCCCATAATAGGTCAAGCGTAGGTGACGTCATAGTGGCGTATTGTTTGCCAACTTTGGACAGAAGCGCATAGCCGCAGGGAAATTGACACAGAAGCCAAAAAAAGAAGACATTTTAAACACGAAAACTGCAAATGTACGCCACTTATTTCGTCATTCATATGCCTTGTCGTTGTGTTGTTTCCATATTGCACTTTGAAACATTGGGATGTCAAATAACACAAATAATATTGACAAAAGTACATTCCACATTTCTTAGCCTCCGGCTGAAAATTATGAAGATACAAAAGATGTCCTAGATACGACTATGGCGGATGCCTGTACCAAGTTTCAAGCAATGATCCGTAACAATTACTGAGTTATGGCTTATATAGTAGCCATGACTGACCTACATCAGCTTTACACGCAAACCGACGACCACGTGAGGCTGGTGGCGGGGTTGAAGGGCATCAGGCTACGCGACTGAGTTATGGCTTATATAGTAACCATGACTGACCTACATCAGCCTCACACGCAAACCGACGACCACGTGAGGCTGGTGGCGGGGTTGAAGGGCATCAGGCTACGCTATCGGCAGGGTTAAACCGTCGAAAGCAACGCAAAAATCGGTCCAACTGGTTATTCGACGCCGAGGTGATCCATTTGACCCTGATCTGAGAGAGTTCATAGACAAGTAACAGCCTTGCCCACTTTCATGGTATCCAAAATTGCGGCTAAGCTCTGCCACTTCGCGTTTAGATGGTTCAGACACGTCAGAAAAAATGGACAAAAATTGGCACATAGACCAAGGTTTCAGTGCTCATTTGCACGGCACGTGACCTTGATTACAGACCTAGTACGGCGCACGCAGCCTAGAACGTCTTCCTTTTCAGCACGTTTGATCAGGGCGCTGTGATTTCACACCACAAGATACGCTTCTAAATGAAGTACGTTGTGGAGTCGGTCAGATGTTCCAAAGTATCATTCTAATATCTTTTCTTGACCTGTGACCTTAATGCGCACCTAAACCTAAGTTTGTTGTGTGGCCTGAGACTGCATACCACGGCACTTTCATTGCAATTTGAATTTCTGAATTCGGCCCAGCCGTTTTTGAGATAAGTGGGGGGTCAAATCTGCCCCCGTCCGGTCAATGGTGCGCCGTTGAGGAGTCCGGTTGATGTCGGGTTAAGTTCTGCGCAATGCCGATACGGGCTGTTCGACACCGTTGCTGAAGTATAATTAATAGAAAACGAGAACGTTTGCTGCACACACAACAGAAAACACGGCTTAACGGAAACAGGCCGTGCGTTATGAGTGCAAGATGTCGAGGCGTTGGCGTGTCCGTTTGGTGTCCGTCCTCGGCATCGCGCCTGTCCGACGCCCCCAGCCGGACGCCAAGATGGTGATGGACGTCATCTCCCGGATGGAGGACACGGAGCCGTTCAGTGACGAGCTGCTGGCGGCCATGAACCGGCTCTGGCTGGACGGCGGCGTGCAGGAGTGCTTCGGCAGGTCCAACGAGTACCAGCTGAACGACTCAGCCAAATAGTGAGAGCAGACGGCATGCCTGCGGCGTCTAGGCTGCATGTGCTCACCAAAGCATATCCTTGTTGTGTGCGCGTGTGTTTTTTGTGTTAATTCGACGCAATCCCCCATTAATAGTTGAACAGGGGTACCTCCCCGTGACGTTGCATCAGTCTGGTTACAGAATGGTTTGGCTTAGCGTCACACAATCTGTGATGCGCATCCGCGGTGCAAACGATGCCCGCAGTGCTTCCGTGGTAAAAACGATGCCCGAGCTGGTCTCTCAGCTGTCATGTCAGTTACGATCAACTATCCCTGAACTCTGCAATATGGGGCTGTGATGGAAGACTTCACCGAATCACATTGCCGGGCGGCGTGCGTCACGAGCTCCGGCCCATGTCTGAGGAGCAGGTATGATGTGGACGCTGGACGTTGGCCCGTCGAGGCGCGTGCCCGTACCGACTGACGTCACGGGACTGGTGTCATACTCGAGCTCGGCCACTGACGCGACCTTCAGCTTGGACATACTTTGGCAGCGACCACCACAATGTTGATAGATAGGCAATGTTGATAGATCCCTTTCGGGGCTGTGCAACCCATCATTCTATACACGACCGATGTGCTCACTGCACTGTGTTGTTTCCTGCTCACTGCACTGTGTTCGTTGTTTCCAGTTTCCTAGATGACCTAGCGCGCCTGGGTGCCAAGGACTACCAGCCAACTGTGCAAGACATCCTGCGAACCCGGGTCAAAACGACTGGCATCGTCGAAGTACACTTCTCCTTCAAAAACCTCAACTTTAAGTACGTAGTGAAGCAGGGCCACGGCAGACTTCTTTTCCTTCACCACTCGAGTGACGTACTCTCGCAGGCGCCGTCTGCCTTGTCCATGAGGTCTGCTCTCTTGCACGATTCCTCTCACTGCGCACCTGCAAAGCTCATACCACTTCAAGGCTCAACACTGGTCCCTTGAGGCGCAGGAGGCACAATGTGGGTCGCACGCGGTCATACGAAATTTCAGGCTTGCTTGATTGGGCAGCCGCCTTCATCTTACGTAACCGGCCAGCCTCCCGTAGACCCCCCTCCAGCGAGACTCGAGACCGGGCCAGACAACGCCCGGCGGGCCGTGTCCTTCGCTAGCCCGCGGCGGCGATGAGCCGTGTTTTTTCTCTCCCGGAGGACGGACAGCGTGCGGTCGTTACGGCCCGGGCTAATGGAAGACCGGACCGCCGAGTCCCTGGCGGTGCTGGGCGGGCGTCCGCCTTCCGGGACTGTGGACCATCCGGCCGTTTTCGGTCGGGGCTGGTCCGGCGTGACCATGGACCATCGTGTGACGCTATTATGTCCTGGGTACGAAAGCTACGAGCCACCCGCTGGTACTCAACTGAGACGGTGTCAGGGACCCATGGCTGCCCACATCCCGTCGGCGGTGCTCCTTCCACTGCGGCCTGGCGGGGAATGCAAATGCACCATGCTGCGTAAGTTTATTGGCGCTGAGCTGCGAGCCGCCCCCAATCGCGGCGCTCCATGAAAATATATTGGGCCCAGTGTTCGGATGTGGGAAAACACGCGGTCTTTATTCCAGCACATTCGTATTGCGTAGCAGCCTGGGGGTGTCTTGGCCCTGTGTTTTTGTACTGTGATTAGTGGGACTATTTTAGTGATCAAAGTCTCAAATGTTGTTGCAAGGCACCACCTGACCTTGAAAGAGTTTCGCAAGTGACGGGGAAAACGCCATCGGGAGATAATTATCAGGAAATTTTGCTTTAATGCATCTTCAAGTTTCCGTTCATAATTTCCCGATCACGACTCTGCATTGAAATGTGTGGAGTCGTTACTGGTTATCGCGAATTGGTACTTTTTGCCGTGGAAGAAATGACAAGAAATGCGTGCGGATAGTAACACACGCGGCATTCCATCAGCAGTATACATTTCCAAGTAGTATAGCCCTTCCCCGTTGTTTGCATCCATCAGGCAACGGATCGACCCATTTCTTGCATCCAGGCGCCCCCCCCCCCCCCCCGTCTCTCCTCGTTATCAGCGCGCTCCCACTACTGGCACCATTACCGCTGTAGCTCTTACAAAGACGAAAACGATCGGGTAATCTGGCAGTCCCGCACCGCGCATCCGAGGGAACTCCCGGCCACCTCCGGAGGAAACGTGTGCCGAGGCCGCAGGAAGCGCCTGCTCGCGTCCGTCGAGAGAGGGCACTGCTGTTCCAGGAGAGAGCTGCCACCCGTGAGGCCGGAGGGGTCGCTTGACGTTTGTCCACTTGTGGAATGACAGCTCACCCAGATGGAAAGATGACGCTCGTTTTTGTCCGCAGGGAAGTGCTACGTTCAAGCAGGCAGGATGTTTACGTTCTTGTGTTATGAACTGTCTCTTACATGAAACGAAACATAATCTCACATCGGAAGGAATCTCCAGATCTTCTTTAGAAAGTCCCTGGGCTGCGTTCGTGATTGGGCGTAAGCACGAACGTTACACGGTTACCCTACGTTACGCTCAATGGAAAACTGACCATTCTCTACAACTTTACCCCTTGGTAACGCCCTGGCTACGCTGGACGAGCCCAATCCTTCTCCCGGTTACGCTTGGTTGAACACTACGTCACAAAAAGGAGCGTCAGTTGCGCCCTGATTGAGCCAGAGACTCGAAACAAATAACGGGTCATAAGAGAAAGCCAACGGTGTCCGGCTTTAACGCTTTAAGTTATGAAAAATTCTACCATGATTTTCAACCACATCAGAAGGTAACGTGACGTCGTCCGGCCCCATCTCGATGATGATGATGATGATGATGATGATGACCATGGGGATTGTTTATTTTCGGTCGCCACGGCTTCAAAGACCATTTCATGGCCCGCCTGTATTCAGTTTATGCGACCACCGCTCTGTTATCGGGGCATCAAAATGAAGGTATCAGAGCCATGTCATTCTTGAAATCATTTTCATATCTGGATGGCTTTAAAACAGCGCTGGCGAAGCCGCTTGAAATGGCAAGCATACGCAAACTATCGATCGAGGACGGGCCAAGAAACTTCACGTTGTTAAGATATGCCACCAGTCGACCGCAGAGTTCTGAGTGAGGATCGTCGCACGCTCGTCTTCTGTTGCAAAATGCGTACAACACGTATTTTTGGACGTAACACAATGCAATTCTACCTACTCCATGCCGCTGGTTTGTTAAGACTATTCTGAGCAATATCGTCCACGGACGATGAACGATCCACGCTGTAGGGTAAAACGTCACTGATGTCAATGGCCACACTAGCAAAAAGCGGAACGCTTAGAATGCTGCCTTGCGGGACTTCAGTACTGGATTGGAAAACGTTCTGGACACGTGATCCCCAACCGAAAGCGGAAGTGCTCCGACCCCCTAGCTAGGGGATCGGCGCTTTGCTTCGGTTACGCTTGATCAAAGTCTCCTCTCCAACATAACATATGCCGTGGGTGTAACCATGTGTCTGAGTTTGTGGTGGGGCAAATCGTTATTAGAGAGGTCAAACTGAAATGCAATCTGGGGGGGGGGGGACACCCTAACCTGACAATGGCATCCTAAATGGCAGACTGTGAAAAATTGTGCATCCTACGGACAAATTGAAGGGGCCAGAATCCCCTTTCGTGATAAGTGGAGGACCTGTTTCTCCAGCTCTCCAGTGGTTGCGCCCCTGATTCATGAGCAGAGGTGCCACCGGATTCCTGTCCAGGACCGTGACCGTGCCCGGGCTCCAGGACAGTAGAGGGGTTTTGATCTTGTTGGAGGGTGTATTGGGGTCCAATATATTAAATATGCATTCTTAAAGGTGTTGTTTAAGTCCAGGATGATTTGATTTTCTTTCATGGTGCACGGAACCCGGATTCCGTTATTGATACGAGCAAGTGACCATGACGCAGTGCTCGGAATTTGTGCGTACTAACTAACTAACCGCTGTCCCCGGTGTGCTGCTGCTGCGCTGTGCCCTCAAGTCGAGACTCGCGGCGGCCCTCCGGGCCTTTGCAACAGCCGGACGTGCCGTGGACGGATGGCTGTGCTATTTTGGGTTGCGAGGGATGAATGACACGTCACGAATTCGTGGACCACGCCATGTTACGACTGGTCTTTTCGGAATGTCATTCATGCAATTGCGGGCAATCAGCGTGGTTGTCACGGCAACGTGTTTTTCGAAGCTTTGTCATTGTCCTGGAATTGAACGTCACCTAGTGATCGGAAGATACAGCTCGTTGTTCACCATGGTAATCATGCGGAACATGTCATATTTCTGTTATGCCAGGATGGCACAGCGCATCCTTATTCCCATGGGCTCTGAAATACACCCATGGGTATATGTGCATGCATGCACAAGTGCATTCGTAGATCGCACAGAGTTCCGTCATGCTGAGTAGTGCTCTTCGACCTCCGGCGCAAGAGTTCGGAGGGTATTTGACCCAGCCGACACTCCAATTAACTCCTCCCCACATTGGCTTTGAAGCGGCATTGATCAGAGAGATAGTAGAGCACGTCAAAAACACGGAAAAGAATAAGGGAAAAATATAATTCACATGCATGCACAAACAGTATCAGACAGCCCTATTACACAAAGGGTGACTTTTCAGCGTGCTAGCTTAAAACTTGTGGGATCCAGTCGCCTTGAATCCGCCGGTAACTGGTTCAGGAGACAAGCGGTTCGGTATGTGAGGAGCGCCGTCCTGCCACCGCACGCACCGCCGAGGGACACAGGCTTGCTGTCCTGCCACCGCACGCACCGCCGGGGGACGAAGGTTGCTGTCCTGCCACCGCACGCACCGCCGAGGGACACAGGCTTGCTGTCCTGCCACCGCACGCACCACCGAGGGACACAGGCTTGCTGCCCTGCCACCGCACGCAGGCGGTTCGGTATCTGAGGGAGCGCCGTCCTACCACCGCACGCACCACCGAGGGACGCAGGTTTGCTGTCCTGCCACCGCACGCACCGCCGGGGACACAGGCTTGCTGTCCTGCCACCGCACGCACCGCCGGGGGACGAAGGTTTGCTGTCCTGCCACCGCACGCACCGCCGAGGGACAGGCTTGCTGTCCTGCCACCGCACGCACCACCGAGGGACAGGCTTGCTGCCCTGCCACCGCGCCGCCGAGGGACGCAGGTTTGCTGTCCTGCCACCGCACGCACCGCCGGGGACGCAGGTTTGCTGTCCTGCCACCGCATGCACCGGGGACGCATGTTTGCTGTCCTGCCACCGCGCGCACCGCCGGGGGACGCAGGTTTTGGTCATGCGGGCGGAACGGTCACAGGTCGGCGCGTCGGCGTTTGTTTGAAACAGGCATGGTCCACAGGCTTACCTCGCCCACCGGCTTTATGCGCAGCGGTTACCGTTTGCACATCACATATGTGGCGAAGTATCGGTGTTGGTAGCTGATTATTATTTGCCTGGTCTAACTCCCCACCGGTGGTTGAATTTTTATCATTACACTATCTGACTACGGCAACTTCCCGAGCTGAATGGAGTAAGATGCAATGGTGTTAAAAACGCCTCCTTTTTTACATACGACCATCGTTTTCAGTGGATGTAGATATCTCTTTCGGTTAACGGGCCCTGGGGCGCTGAGCACTGCTGAGACCAAATCTGGAGCTGACGTGCAGCGGTATCTTTTACGAACCGAATAACGACGTAGGCAGGAGCCATATTAGTCCTGATAAGCAGAGACGCCATACACCGCCCGGGTACTACGTAAAGAAGTGCCGCGCCGCGAAGACGCATCAGACAGGCAACCCGGGGATGAGCACGGTCTCAGCTCGTGTACACGGAATTGCTCTGCATGCATTGCGCCGCAATGTATTTTAACAAGGAACCGCTGACCGCCTGCACCACTTTGGCTGCGTCGTACGGAGAACATGCTGCCACTTCCACCTCCCTGGCCGGTCCTGTTCCCCTACTCAAGTTTATGGTCGTTTCTTCCTGCCGAGAACCCAGTGGTCGACACTCTGTCGGCACCTAGCACCCTGCCGCGGATCTCTTGCATCGGATGACTCTTTCTGATGCGGCTTGTTCCAAAGCTCTGTTTCCAGAAGGCACGCGATTGCCATGGTACCGTTGATGGGCTGTGATATGATCCGCCGCATGCGTAATCTATACGGGAACGCTGCGGGTATGTGATCAGCAATCGCGTGAATATCCAGCTCGTTGTTATGCACCCGTACTGATGAGTACTGAGGGTACGCACCCGTACTGAAGAGCACTGAGGGTTACGCACCCGTACTGAGGAAGTACTGAGGGCTACGCACCCGTACGCTCTTTGCGCGGATGTGTGTGCAAGGGCGTTGTTTGACAGAGTGGATCAGCCTGCATCTGGGTATTTCCGTCCCGTTGAAATGTGTGAACTAAATTTAGCCTTCAGTTCCGCTACCAAATGAACTTCGCTCCGTCAAGGAACCGATGCGTATTACCAAGGCACTGCGTACTCGTCCAGGGGGGTCTGGTAAAAGATCCGAGCAGGACGCGATGGCGCTTTCAGACCGTCGCTGCCAGCATCTCACGCCGCGTCGGCGCGAAGCGGCGCGCCGGATGTTTGCCGCCGTCGCCGCCGCTCGTCACCGGAGGCGGAAGTCGCCGCTCTCTGGCGGGTGCTTGACCGGCCTGCGCTGACGCCGGCAGACTGTTCGACGTGGGCGGTCAGCGGTCCGAGCGGAAGAAGTGGATCCATTGCTTCGAAGACGTGACGGCCATCATCTTCTGCGTGGCCATGTCCGAGTACGACCAGGTGCTGCACGAGGACGAGAGCACGGTGAGCAGATCCTGCACAAGGACGAGGTCACGGTGAGCAGGTAGTGCCTTAGGGACAATAGCACGGTGAGCAGGTGCTGCACGAGGAAGGGAGCGCGTTGAGTGGATGCGGCCCGGCCAACCGCAGTCATTGTGCTGCCGTTCCGCTGCATTAGAACGGACCAAGGACTAGGTGATTGCTGTTTTTGCTGTGGCTGTGATGGCATGAGCGAGGCCATGGGCGGGTTTTGATTTCTTCCGCAAGCATTAGCTTAAAATTTGAATTGCCGGGGACCTTCCCCTTAGCAGCAACTTTGTGTAAGTCAGAAAGTGGAAATCACAGGTCGTGGGAAGTTTGCCCATGCTTATAGAAATAGCATGTAGGATACCACAAATCATGCGATTAACGTTTGGTTCGCGTTGCAGAATCGAATGCAAGAGAGCCTGAAGCTGTTCGACTCCCATTGCAACAACAAGTGGTTCACCGATACGTCTATCATTCTTTTCCTCAACAAAAAGGACTTGTTCGAGGAAAAGATCAAGAAATCGCCGCTCGCCATTTGCTTTCCCGAATACCCCGGTGAGTGCGTTCTCACCCGACTCCCTTCCCGAATTCCTGACGTCCGGCTCGGGGTTATCCCGCCGGTTGTGTACATTCCCTGACGCGCGGCTGGGGTATTCCGCCGGTGTGTACCTTTCCTGACGCGCGGTCGGGGCATCCCGCCAGTGTGTGCCACCCCTGACGCCCGGCTCGGGGTATCCCACCGGTGTGTACCTTCCCTGACGTCCGGCTCGGGTATCCCGCCAGTGTGTACCTTCCTTGACGTCTGGCTCGGGATATCCCCGCCAGAGTGTGTGCCTTCCATGAATCCGGCTCGGGTATCCCGAAGCTGTGTACCTTTCCTGACGTCCGGCTCGGAGTATCCCGAAGCTGTGTACCTTTCCTGACGTCCGGCTCGGGGTATCCCGAAGCTGTGTACCTTCCCTGACGTCCCGCTCGGGATATCCCGCCAGTGTGTACCTCCCCTGACGTCCCGCTCGGGGTATCCCGCTGAGTGTCGTCCAGGGCACTGCCCACCTGAGACTCCTCCGGGCGGAACTGCCTCGTTAGTTCTGCGGCGCATGGCTTTTCAGAATACCACGAGAGCAGCTTCCAGAAATGAGACGTCTCGGTGTCGTTTCTCGGAACGGCATGTTCAGAGCGGCTCCATGCGCAGGGGTTGAAGCTGCGGCAGGCCTTCGTGGCCGAACTTGGTGGTCGTTTGAGCGTGTGGTCGGCGTGCGATGCGTAATGGGGCTGACGAGATGAGGTGGAGGACCGACGTGTTAAAGCTCGATACCGAGCGTGACGGGGCCAAAGGGTTCCGTCACGCGGTAGGGGACCAGGCGTGAGGGGGTGCGAGGGAGTGTGTGGCGTGATACGAAGGCTGGCATGACTGTGCATGAGAATGCCCACGTCATGCCTCGGCGTACGGTACGATTAGACGGGCAGGCGAAGAGAGAGAGAGAGAGGAGAGAGAGAGAGAGAGAGAGAGAGAGAGAGAGAGAGAGAGAGAGAGAGCAGAAAGAGATAGAGACACAGAGATAGGAGATAGAGAGGAGAGATAGATAGAGAGAGATAGAGAGGAGGAGAGAGTTGAGAGAGAGAGAGAGAGAGAGAGAGAGAGAGAGAGAGAGAGTAGAGAGAAGAGAGAGAGAGAGGAGAGAGAGCGAGAGAGATATATATATATATATATATATATATATATATATTATATATATATATATATATATATATAAGATATATATATATATTGGCATCGTTATCCGACGAGGAGCTCAGACGTACGGCCCGCGTTCCCTCAGGTGCGCAGGAGTACGGCGAGCGGCCGCCTACATCCAGGCGCAGTTCGAAGCCAAGAACAAGTCGACCAACAAGGAGATCTACTGCCATATGACCTGCGCAACGGACACGACCAACATCCAGTTCGTCTTCGACGCCGTCACGGACGTCATCATTGCCAACAACCTGCGCGGCTGCGGTCTCTATGAGGCCGCTGCGTTAAGCCGCCAGCGAGCGCGCCATCTGCTGGACTCTCGAGCAATAGCGCCCTGCGCGGCTTGCCGCCAGGGGCGCTAGTGTTTGCGGGCGTAGCTCTTCGGACTCAAGCTTGGTTGGCGGTGGACGTGTTGGCGTGCCGGTACTAGTCATGCCAATGTGCTTACATGCTGATTTATTTATGTCTTGATGACTGTGTGTGTAGGTGTGTGTGTGTGTGACTGACTGGCTCAAGCGAAACTTGCGGGCCGTGCTTTGAAACGTAACCAACTCGGAAGTACTGTGGAGTTTGTCAAAAAATTGTCCTGCCTGGTCATCGCCAGGCGGCAGCACGATGGCAACCAAGTCCGCGCCGCAACGACAGTCGAACAAACCTTGATCTCTTTATCAGGATAGAGATTACTGTTACCTTCGACCCATTTGAATTGGCACGCAGCCACCGGCTCAACCGACTTGTTTGTTATTCACCGCGTTAGTTCGAAGGGCTCCCTTCCGTCTGGCACTGCACAAATGCGGCTGGGCCGGCGGTGCTCCGTTCGGACGCCGCGGTGCTGCCGGCGTCCGGTGGTGGTACCTCACTCCCCGTCTGGTGGCGCCAATGGCACCATGGCGTTCGGATCGCGCGCCGACGCGCCGATTTCGTGTGAATAATCCCTTTGGGCAGAAATCGATTCACTGACAACACACGCCAGCCTCGGGCGAGTTATCCGCTGCTGATACCTACAGCTATCTGAAGAAGCGCACGCCAAATAGACTAGTTCTGCGTTCTGGTTGGCTGTTGTCGAACCATCTGCAGTTTGCAACACTGTCGCCTTCCTAAATTCACGTGAATACTGCACTGACGTGTCAAGAGAGCCGATCAAAAGAGCTAGTCCGGAATGAATGGCAAGAAATTTAGATTGCCTCTTCCCTTGAACATTGATTGTGCCTGTTGACGCGGGATTAGGTAAGTAATCCCGCCAGTGATGAAAGCGCAGTTTGTGGTCGGAGAAACTCTGTGTGGCTTTGTGTGTATTATAGTATATGAATAGATTGTACATGCAATCGTTAAGAACAAATTACCATCAGTACCTACCTGTGCTTGCTGTTATCGCGTCATGGCTGGTGCACCTTTCAAAACGTGATCATTATTTATCGGTTTTGTACGCTTGGTTTTGCTGACTCTAAGCTGCGGGGATAACAGGGCACAAAAAAAACAAGCAAAAAATGCCCATGACATTCTTCACACAAGCAAAGTGCAGAAACATTGTCAGCGACAGATCATCATTGTCTCTGTGACCTTGTGCTACCGAGCGGCTTCAATTGTCTGGCAGAAGCGCGCCACTCGGCACGTTCACGCGCACGCGGTGTGATGCGCCTACACTGCACATGGTGCCAACCAGCACGTCACGGGGTGACGCTGGACTCGCAGAATTTGCAGCTGCCAGGTGGCTGCGAGGTATGCTCGCCTATTTGTTCGATCTATTTCGAGCGCGTGCGCCGTGCTTTCTCCAGCTGTTCTTGGTTTTCATATGGTGTATAAACGATACATGTTTGTCAGACGACACCATTGTTTTCCTGTTTCATGCCTTTTCACTTCAGCTTCCAAGTAGCTGATAGCTTACCATCCTTGTGGGTTGTGTTCAGTGGCGTAATAATTCCGCGCTTATATCGATATGCACCCCAGATAAGCAGCGTGCATGAGCTGTACTGGGTTTCAGCTCCACCTCAGCGCAGAGGAGCAGGCACACAAGAAGGAGCACGTGATGCCCGTCTCCTCAAGAAAGTATTTGCTCGGACACCGCCAGAGAAATCATGAAATAAGAGTGCCAGAAAAGCACGTCATTTCACATAGCTCACACCACACCAGAACGTGCTGACGGGAGGCACCGAGACAGGACAAGACACGTGCCATACGAGGTCTTCAGGTGATGCTCCCTGCACGGCTCCTGTCGGGTGTCCTCGAGTGGGGTCCCCTTCACACGACCGCCCCGTGGGGGTCCTCGCTCGCGTGTCCCGGTCCGCTACACGTTCTCATCCTCAGTTCATGAGGCAGGCACGGGTCCAGGATTTCCCAAAGGGCAAGGCAATGCCTTGAGAGAGGGCCTTCGTCGGCGCCTTGATCCCTAGACACCATAAGCCCCATTGCGTATTTTTGGCGCAAAAACACCGACATCCAGCTTAGCATCCCCCCTAGGGCGCGCGGCTACGGCGGTGCAGCTGGCACCAGGCGGCGGTCGGCGGGCAGCAAAAACGGCCCCGCATCGAAAGTAATAACCCGCAGCGAGTGCGGTATTGTGCCATCAAATAACTTCAAAGGGCATACCAAGCCACCATCGAAATCGCGAACGACTATCCTAATGGACGTGGTAGCTTACCCCGCTCGTGCAAGCCAGCAATCATTACCTCGGGATGATTGTAACCCGG